TCCAGTATATGATGGCATCTGGAGGACAGGCCTTCGAGGGATAATTAGGTTTTGAGTGTGAGGCCCTTATAAATGGGATTAGTGCCCTGGTAAAAAGAAGAAGAGATGAGAGTTTGCTTCCTGTCTCTCTCTGCCATGTGAGGAGATGAGCTAGGAAAACAGCTTTTCATAAGACATGGGATCTGCCAGAGCCTGACCTTTGACTTCCCAGCATCCAGAACTTTGAGAAATAAGTTTTTTGTTTATGCCTCCCAATCTGTGATATGTTTTAACAGCCCAAACTAAGACAGGGGTATTCCCATCACCACAGGGTCTGTTTGCATTCCCTTGATTCAGATGGGAGGTTTATTAAGTCCCTTGGAGAATCACTGGATAAACCTCATGCCTACCAGCTAGAGGATAGAAGTGGTTGAGGAAGGATTTTAAGCAGGGCAGGCCTGGGATGGTTCTCCAGTGGATCTTGAGCAAACAGGTACACCAAGATCCAGAAACATCCTGGGACTCCTGGAGCAGGTCAGAGGGCACTGAGGGGGACTTATTTTGAGCTGGTGGTCACTTTATGTTAGTTGAGAAAGTTTTACAGCAAATGCTTTTGAATAAAAAGCACTAAACTAGGAGCCACAGCAGTGAGAAACAGAGAGTAAAGGAAGAGTTTCACTAGTCACGATGCAGGGGCAGAAGTCAGCAGGGCACCCAGGGGCTGTGCTGATGGCCACACCTCAGCTCCCTGAGAGGCTCTCACACTTCCTCTGCAATGAACCATCCTGGGCAGGAGCAGGTGATTCTATTCAGAGTCTGCCCCTCAAATTTGGATGAATAGTGACCCCAAAGTGACTCAGTATAATGTGAAAGGGATTGTTTCCTACCAGAAGACACTGAGCTAGATGAATTCCTGTCACCCCCTAATCTCCCATGCAAGAGGAAAGGGACTCTGCAGTAAGTGTGATCAGTTACAGGAAAACGGAAGCATTTGTATTTTAAGCAAGGGCTTTTGGACTGAAACCCATCTCCACAATTTGAAGGGAGCAACAATCATTTGGATCAGTTTTTAAAATACCCCATCCAATTACTTCTTTTTCATGCCTTTTAAGCAAGGCAGATGAGCCACTCAAATTAATGATCTAATAAAGGCAAAAAAAATCCTGTGATAAACAAATATGTTGGAATTCATGATATTTGCACCCAGTTGCATGAAAAGCACTGGACATATTTCATAACAGACCAGTAACGCTGCATGGTGTGTGCCCTTCATCTGAAAAAACAATTGTTCGAGAAGATATTGGGAATCATGTCTTTAGAGGCCCTGTGTGAAGTCCCACTTTACCAGTCTCTGGTCTGATAACTTGCTTTCCTCCAACAAATAATGTTGATCAGTACAGTTAACACAAAAGCCACACAAGGAGATCATTTCCAAGACTTGATAGTCACATCACCCCTGGGCCAAAAATATTTACCGATTTTATTATTTGTTTTGTTCAGTGTATTTTTTAGCCAGGCATGGTGGTATATGTTTATAGTTCCAGCACTTGGTAGGCTGAGGCAGGAGGAGCATTTGAGTCCAAGAGTTCAAAGCCAGCCAGGGCAACAAATCCAGACATAGTCTCAAAAAAAATTTTTTTTAAATAGTGCTCTCAAGTTTAAAAATTATTTTCACTCTTATGGGACAAAGGATGTTGAGATAATTTTAAAAATCGAACAAAATTATTCCTTTTGTAAATAAATTGAATCTTAAGTATTTCTAAAGAAATGTGTATAACAAGCCATACAGGATTTAATTGTATATTACCTTATAAAGAAAAGATTTTTATTTTGCTCATTGTTTTGGGGGTTGGAGATCCAAGATCAGGCAGCCCCACTGATTCAGACTCTGGTGAGCTTCCTGTCTCTCACACCTTGGCAGATGCAGTCATGGTGGGAGTGTGTGCAAGAGGGAGAGAAGCCATGGTAAGACAGGCAGTGTTATGGTTTGGATGTGAGATGTCCTCGAAAGCTCATGTGTGAGACAATTCAAGAAGGTTTGGAGGAGAAATGATTGGGTTATAGTCTTAAACTAATCAGTGAGTTAATCCCTGATGTGATTAACTGAGTGGTAATTGCAGGCAGGTAGGGTGTGGCTGGAGAAAGTGGTTCATTGGGTGCGTGATTATGGGGTACATATTTTGTATCTGGAGAGTGGAGTCTCTCTGCTTCCTGACCATGAGGTGAGCTGCTTCCCTCCGCCACACCTTTCTGCCATGATGTCTAGCCTCACCTCGAGCCCCAAGGAGTGGAGCTGGCCTTCTAATGGACTAAGACCTCTGAAACCATGAGCCCCCAAATAAACTTTTTCTCCTCTCCAGTTGTTCTGTTCGGGTCCTTTTAGTCACAGCAATGAAAAAGCTGACAACACCCGAAGGTGGAGAAGTTTAGGCTCATACTCTTTCAGGACAACCCCTCTCTCAGGAACTCGCTCACTCCACGAGATCAGCATTAATCTCTTCTGACGGCCGTGTCCCCAGTCACTTAATCAACCTTATACTAAGCTCCACCTCTTAACGGTCCCCTCCTCCTAATACCACCACATTGGGAACCAATCTTCACACACATGAACTTTTGGGGGGCAAACCACACCCACCACAGCATCCGCCTGGGAACTCAGAGGTCTGTAGGCCTGGCACCAAGGGGAGACTCTCTAAAGAGCCTTTGCACAAAACTCTAGTCATTTTCTGTGATTGGGCGTCTCCCCTGCAGTAGTGACACAGCTGCACAGGTCTCCCCTTCCTTCTCCAGGCAGGACCCACTGTTCCTCAAACACATCTTCCCGACTTTGTGCCCTTTCTAATCAGTTCCCGGTCCTTGGTATGCCTCTGGGCTCCGCTCAGCTGTGAATCCTGCCCCCTCTTCTGGGGAGCCTTTCTGGAACAGGTCTCTCCTAGTGATCATCAGCTGACGTCTATTATTCATGGTGCCTATTTCCTCATCTGTAAAGCAAAGGGATAACAGAATGTGTAGCATGAGATTATGTGAAGATTAAATAACTTAGTCCAGACACAGTGAATAGAACATGCTAGAAACAGAGCAATACGAGCGAAGTGTAGTGATTATTAATTGGAACACACTTGAGATTCTAAAGAACATTTTGTTTAATGCTTTATTTGTTTTCCTGATTAAGTGTTTGTGCCTTTTCTCCTCAAGAATGCCAAGGTCTTGACAGAGAGGTGAGCTTGGTTTGATGAACAATGATGGGTGGAGTGAGGAGGGAAAGGGGACAGATGAGGCCAAGGATCAGAGGGACCAGCTTGTTCTACACCTCAACATGGCTGTAGGAGTTTGGTTCTCTCTGAATGTATCAGTAACCATGAGCAAGTTTTGAGAAGCTACAGTTTTGAAAAGTTATATTTCGGCTGCTGTGAGGAGGACAGAACATAGAGCAGAAGGCATAAACAGGGAGATCCATTAGGAGAAACAACAGAGACGGCTGGATGCCACCCAAGGGCCATCTACCCTTTCGTCGTAGGGAGAGCTCTGATCTCCTCCTTCTTCACAGCACTGTACTCAGCTAAACTGCACATTTCCTAGTCTCCTCACTGCTTACAACTAGACATAGTTCTGGCAGATGAAGCATAAGAAAAAGGATTCATGGCAGTTTTTGGAATGCTAATTAAGGACAGCCTATTCTGCCAGGAGGAGGACATTTCTTTTGTTTCTTTTTGCTGACAGCCTGGAACATAAACATAATGGCTGGAGCTCTAGTGGCTATCTTGTACCATAAGGTAGCCTTTAAAATGGAAGGTTAGGATGCTGGAACAGGAAGCTTAGGTAGGTCTGGAATGTTGGCATGGGAATTCCAGAGCAGTTATGGACTACCTATTTGTGGACTCATTTATGTGAGGGAGAAACAAACTCCTATTTTGCTTAAGCCATTGTTATTTTTCTTTTATCAGTTGTGTTCAGTAAAATCTAAATGTAAACTAACATACAACGTCATAGCAATGATCAGGTGAGCGAAGATGGTGGTAGCAGAGAAGATCAGGCGCTGGGTTTTTTTTTGTTTCGTTTTATTTAAAAGGTAGCTCCCATAGAGTTTGTTGATGGTTTAGATACAGGAGTGAAGGAAGAGGGAAAATAAAGAAAGATGTTTGAGTTTGGGCCCAAGTGACTTGACAGTGCCACACTTTACAGAGATGCAGAAGTGAAGGGGGGCTTGGGTGTGAGGCCAGGCCTGGGTGGAAACAGTTTAGAGTGTAAGTGGCAGAGCTGACTGCAGTGGGGACAGTGAGACTAGAAGAAAGGCACAGAGCATGGGCACAGACTGGAGGAAATGAGTGAGCGCCTGTCCTGCTGCTTTTAGGTTCTCAATAAAATATGAATCAAGGATGTCAGCTGAGACTGAAGGGATGAGCAGAGGGTGGAGATGGGTGGGTTTGAAGAGAGAAATGCTGCGGAATAGTCATGTCAGGGTGGAATGGCCAGACAGCATTGATATGTGTCCTTTGGCCTTTTGTGCTTCCCAAACAGAAGCCAGTTGGCAATGCTGCGTGTTTTTGGGTTAACTCTGCGTGTTTGGTGCAAAGTCCAGTTTAATAGAGCCTGAATTTTGCCGGAAAGTGCTGTAGCATATAAGGAAATGAAGGGGGTTTGCCAAAAAGGATTAGAACGGTGGATCAGCAATTGAAATTGGAAAGAGAAGGAAGTAAACACTCAGGATAAGATGTTTGGTCAAGGACAAGAATTGAGGGTTCTTGAAACTGAAATTGCTAGGGTGGGCATTAGCGAAGCTATAGGAAGGACATACAGCCAGATATTGAGGGAGGGGTGGTTGAAAAGGAGACTTTGGAGACGACTTTGGAGGAGATGCAGTTTGTCATCAGTAAGGAGGGAGTCAACTAAGTGAGTGGCTTAGTTGACAAAGATGAAAAGTCACTGGAGAGGCAAGGAATTGAGAAACCCCGTGACACTGAGCTGGATGGAGGTTAAGGTGTTGAATAAAGTCTACTAAATCATAAGATTGATAATAAAAATTATTCACAAAGTTCTACAATTGGATTTATTACCTGGTACAGATGAGATACCATTTATTAGTACAAGTACTTGAAATTTAAAAATTTTAAGGGACATTTATGGACTTCAAAGATCAAAGTTTTACCCAAACATCTTAAGTTTTTATTGGGTGAAAATACAAAGCATTTTCTTCTTCATCTGAAACTTCTTTGTATCTTGATATCTTCATGAGTTTTTTGGGGCGGCTAGTCTATTAACACAATCTTTTAAAAATTGACCTTTTTTTTTACCCTTGAAAATTCTTCATGTCTTAGTTTGTTTCTTCTGAGTTGGACTCTGCCTCCTTGTACTTTCCTCCTGACCTTTCCACTGTTTTATTTTTAGACTTTTATTCCCATATTTACTTATTTTTCTCAGATGTTTGTTTCCTTTCTTCCTGCCCCATCTCCCTGTTTCTCAGATTCCTTTCCCTAGGAGAAAGAATTGGGAGGTTTTCCCAAAGTGTGCTGAGAGAAGTCTCTAGAAGCCATGGGTGGGAGGGACCTTGTGAAAACAGGGGTTCTTGCAGTTTTAAATCTAGTAAACATTCAGGTTATGGGGCCACACCTTAAGTACAGGCCCAGTTTGTCAAAGGTGGTCTCCAAAACATTATGGAAATTGCTTAGCAACTCCCACCTCCTAGTCTCTCAGAAATTATTAATTGGGAATCTCTTCTGGGCTATTCGTTGTACTGATAACATTATGGGTAATAGCTGATTGACTTAATTCTCTCAGGGGCATTCACCTTTCTCTGTGTGCATTAATCCAGATAAATCTCAGATTCATGAAGTAAACGTGAAACATTCACACTCTATTTGGGAGTGTTAAACTAAGAAGGTTTCCCTTTTCTTGGGGTCCCAAAGCAGCCTTCCTATCCCTTAGAAAGTGGGCCAGGACAGTGTAAAATTGCCAGAATTTGTGTGAATGCACACATCTGAGTGGATGCATGTGACAATGCCCACCTCTTTAATAACTCTAGTCTTTGTGTCTTCCCCACCCATGTTACAAATGGGAAACAGAGATGCTCATGTATGGATTATGGTTAAGCCACTTTATTCTTAAATTTTAAATTCTTGGTCTCAGGATCAAATTCCCTAATTTTCCATAGAAAATTCTTCAGTTATCCAACTTTATAAAGGCTTTCAGAACACTATTTTGGAATTACAGAGGTTCTTGGCTCCTGACTCTACCTTTTAATCAGGTTGTTTGTAACTGGAAAATTCAGAATGAGTTGGGACCCAGAGACAAGAGGAACTAAAAATTGAGGTTCCTCTTTCTCAATGAGCCCTAGGCTAAATGGGTTATATCTCATCCTCCAATCCCCATGCAGAGGACAAGGAGAGCCACCTTGCAATGTGGTTGTAGTGTTGCAAGGTTGGTGTAGTGGGCTTAGGGTCAATAGATTTGACTGCGGCTACCTACTCAACTCCTGCTATCTCTGTGACCTTGGGAAAGTCATAGAAGCCTCCTACTCCTACTGTCTCTGTGATCTTAGGCAAGTCACGAAACCTCTGGTGTTACAGCTTCTTATATAATGATAAATTATTCTGGCTTCAAGTGTGGCTGATGAGCGCAACCCTTTCGTGAGTCACCCAGCCCATCAGGGGATCAGCGTCTGCGATGCTCCGCAGCAGGTTCCAGAAGCTTCCCCAGGAAGGGAAGAAGAGGCAGCAATAAAAGAGGTATATAAGGGGACGGGGCTCTTTCCCTTTCATATCTGCGAGGGCAAGGACCTTCTTGAACCCGCTGTGTACCTCGCACTTGTGTCTAGTCTCTCCTCCGCCGTAGACAAGTTGCAGAACCAGGAAGAGCAAGAAAGCGACCTCTGCGTCTCTCTGAGGGTAGTCCGGGCTCTGAGCCTGGCTCTGTCCGGCATGTTTAATTATAACTCACACCGTTTGCTCTTTCACCATCTCGGCTGAGCCTTGAACCTGTACCTTTGCACCCAGTTATTGGCCTTTCATAGACAGCTCACATGGGATACAGGAGGAGAATCAAGTTTCTGAAATGAAAACACAGATATAGTAAAATCAGTCGCGCTTCTTCCTGCCGGTGACTGTTTACAAGAGGGAAGTCAACGGGCCCCAAGAGGTCGCTGGTGGCGCAGGAACCGAGGCCAGATTGTAGAGAAAGGGGGAAGAAAAAAAAAAAAAAACCCAGAAACTTTCTTCCTTGTTGCGAATAATCGCCGCCCCCCCCTAGCCCCAGCAAAGGCAGTAATGTGACACCAGAGCGAAACGCGGAGACCCGAGCACAGAGAGGGAGGGCCGAGGGAGGAGAGAGGGCTGCGGAGCGCCGGAGGGAGAAAGGGGAGGAGAAGGAGGAAAACCCCTGTCAAGGAGGTGGAGCGAGGGGATGGTGTCCGCCTCCCGTTCCTCCCTGCCGTTTTCTGGAGGAGCCTGAACCGGGACAAAACACGCCGAAAGCGACACACACAAAGCCGGGGGTCCACGCTGGCGCTGGAGGCGAGCCCCGGCGGCCACGAGCGAGCCCGGGGCGCGGCAGGGCGCGGGGCGCGGTAGCACTAGCAGGCGCGGGACGGACGCGGGCAGCGCTCCCGAGCCGGGGCCGGGCACCTCGGCCGCTCGGGCCGCGGCGGGCTGCGGGGACCATGCCGAGAAAAGTCTCCTGAGCCCGGCAACTTCGGCCCCTCCCCGCCCCCACCCGGCTGCCCTCGGCGCGGCCCTCCCCATGTGCAGCCGGCCGGCCGCGCTCTCCTCCTCGCGGCGGATGGGTGACCTTTTCCTGGCCCGGGCCGGCTGTGCGAGGCGGCGGAGCAGGCGATGAAGAAGCAGCAGCAGCATCCCGGCGGCGGCGCGGATCCCTGGCCCCATGGGGCCCCTGTGGGGGGCGCCCCTGCTGGCCTGGGCGGCTGGAAGCGCCGGGTCTCCCTGCCACCTTTCCTGCGCTTCTCCCTCCGGGACTACGGTTTCTGCATGGCCACCCTGCTGGTCTTCTGTCTGGGCTCCCTCTTCTACCAGCTCAGCGGGGGACCCCCTCGCTTCCTGCTTGACCTGCGGCAGTATTTGGGTAAGGAAGGGCGGCGGGCGCGAGGGCGGCGCCGGCTGCGCAAAGTTGTGCCCAGGAAAAGAGGGGGCGCGCCAGGGACTTCTAATGCTGCCACTGCCCGCCGCCGCTGCGAGGCTCCCCAGGTGTGACGCCTGCGAGCATCCATCGGTGCAGCCGCCCGGGAGCGTCGTCTTCCTCCCGCGAGTCTGGCTGTCGGCAGCGTGGCGGGGTACCTCTGGATTGCAGGGTTGGGCTGGGCACTCCTGCCCTGGGGTACCACATACCTGTCCCGGCCCCGCGACCCCAGCTGGGGCGGAGTGGACGCCTATGTGTTTGTGATTGTGAGCGTGGGTATATTCAGATTCCGCGGCCGTTGGGGAGAGGGAAAGGACAGGAACAGTCCCTTACAGGACATCGTTAGTGACTATGATCCCGTCGGGTCCCGAGCTTTGGGGCGTGCAGGTGGTGCAGCCCCTCAAGTCAGTTCCACGAATTTAGCCCCCCGGGTCCCCCTCCTGCCCTCTGGCCCATGTGGTTTCGCGCTGTCCCTGGCCTGTCCCTTGGCATCTCCTGTCACCCCACCGGCCGCAGCAATCGTGACGCGGAAAGCGCGTTGTTCCCGGGGATCTGGGGGTTACCCCAAGGTGCTGGTCAGCCTAACTAGCAGACTCTCCTGCGATCTGGCAGTCCTAGGCGCTGGGTGCGTCTCAAGTGAGAACTTTATTTTCCCTTGGTTTGTGGTTGGTTAGTTGCGAGCGAGGCCGCCTGCCTGTAGCGTAGGAAGAGGTTAGAGAACAGAACCGGTCCAGCGAGAAGGCGTGGCCACGCGCCTCCCTGTCCGGGACTGCCGAACCAGGGGTGCCAGGTCTGAGGACCCCACGCCCAGGTCCTGGGGAAGATGTTGGCTCGCGCGCCAGGGCCACGGAAGATGCAAACCCTTCGCAAATCTGCGGCCAAAAGAGGTCGTGAGGAAGTTGGGGGAGAGGCTGGGAGAGCTCCAGCTTCTTGAGGTGATAACCTGAGCCAACCGGCAAACATCAGGCATCTGCAGGGAGTGGGGTGCGGAGACAATGCCATGGAAGAAGCGCTGCAAACAGAATGAGCCAGAAACGACCTTTGGAAGCTGCCACGTTTACCCCAAATATCCCCTCATCGCAGAAGCCACAGGTCTAGATAAGCAGACCTTTGGAAGGAAAAAACAAACCAAACAGCAGCAAAGTGAATAGAAACAGAATTTTTTTCCCACATAGAGAAGCTCCAATTTTAAAACTTATATTTTCATTTCAGCAAAAACTTTGGTGCACTATGGTTTTGCATGATGCTTTATGGAAAATTAAGGGAAAGTATTGTCCAAGTTAGATTTCTAAAACAAAATACAAAGTACCTGATTTTACAGATTTAAAATAGTCTTTTCTTCTTTCTTTCTTTTTTTTTTTTTTTTTTTTTTTTT